CATATCTCTAAGTTTTATCATTGGCAATAAGTGCACTTAGGACAAATTAATAAAACATAATATATATGGTCTCAAATGCTTTTTTGCTCTGTACCCTGCCATCTGTACCACTGCCATTCCCAAATCATCAACTTCTAGTGCCACTGTTCTTCCACTTAATTGATGACATCTGGCTCTTTTCTCTTCTCTAACCCAAAACCACTCTTCCTCCAATTGTTGTTGTTACTTCAGCCCATATTGTCCCTTCTCATCTCAGTTTTACAGTGACTTCCCCAGAGAGAGCCTTCTGACTCCTCAAATTAAATTAGTACCCGATTAAAACCCCTCATTATCTCCTGTATTTTCACTGTCTAGTGTTAATTATCAGTTATAATTGCCTAGTAATTTGTGAGGTTCTTTAATACCTAGGGAGCACCAGGGGCCTAGTGTTTAAGGGGCCATGTTGCCATCCCAAAGGCAGGCTGTTTGAATCTACCAAATGCTCTGTGGGAGGAAGATGGGTAATCTTTTTCTATGCAATTTGTTATGTACTGTTGAGTTGGAATTAAGTCATAGCTGACCTTCCAGCAGGGTTTCAGAAGCAGCGAATTACACAGAAGGAGACTGTCCAATTTTCTCCCATGAAGCAGCTGATACATTTAAAACACATTTGTTTGGGTTGACAGCAAAACTCCTTACCACTAAGCCAGAACCCACTGGAAAGTCACTTATTAGTCGGTTCTGATTTGACAAAAAGAGTTTTTTAATCTTTTAATTCCTACTTCTCAGATAAGTTTTCTTTCATTAGTCCACCTCTGCTGAGTATAAAGTTGTGCATCAACACAGGATCTAGGTAATCATGAGAAACAATGTGTACTTACTTACTCACTGCATTAATGATTGGACAAGCTATCTTAACACCTCAGCAGTGACCATGTGAGTCCAGATCTTACTGACATGTCATGCAAGTAGGACCAAATGATTGATTTTTTTTTGTTGGTTTAGCAATCTAAAACAGGCTCAATATCAGTTTGGTCTTTCAGTGTATCTGGTAACCTTCTAATAAAGGAATTGTTCTGTCAGCCCAAAGGCAGGAAGTTCAAGCCCACCAACTGTATTGTAGGAGAAAGAGGAGCAATCTCCTTTCCTGCAATTTACAGCCCCTGAAATCCTGCTGTAGGGTCAGCTCTGAGGTGGCTCTGACTTGAGGGTATATGCAAAACACTAAAGGTGAGTTGTTAACAAATCTGGAAATCAGAAAGATCCTTGTGATTCTTCAGTTCACATTTAAGGCTTAAGTGATCTAGAACATAAAAGACTCTTCTAGTTCTTTAGTTCAAATTCAAGGTAGATTGCTGATTTATATAACCTAGAGAGTCATCTTATTATTTTTAAATTTTATTAATTTTAATGAACATTTACAGAGATTTGGGGTTTCCATTCATTCATTGTTGCACAATTTTCTCT